TCCATTTTTCTCTTAATCTGCTATATATTTATTTGTTTGTCAAGTTTATTCATTTATTTCTTCTTTTTTTTTTTTTTTTTTTAAAGTTTGCTACAGGGCATATGTGCTTACTAGAGAGAAAGACAGGAAAAGTGAGAAAGCAACCCACCAGGTTTGATACTCAAACCACAGTCGGCCATGTGGGAATCCAGCGCCTTCAACCACCATGCCACCTGCTGGTCCTGAAGTCTTTTTTTTTTATATATACAATCCAGAAACTTAACTTCTTTACTTGTACCATGAACATCTGGGTTTTTTGTTTTGTTTTGTTTTAAGTTTGTCGTAGGGTACATTTGTTTGCCAGAGACAGAGAGAAAACAAGAAAGCACCTCCAGGGGGAGGTGCCAAATCCCTTCTCCATTCTCCTGTTGTGCATACATGCATACACACCTGGTGTTTTTTTCAGGCTGCTAGATTTGTTACTCAAACCACCTTCCCAGCAATGCAGGATCTATCTGCCTTAATCACCAAGCTACTGACTGGCCTTACCATAAATATCCTTTCCTTTCAGTGTAAAACTACTCTGGGGCTAGCAGATAATATGGGTGTTGGGGCTCTTGATTTTCATATGGCCAACCATGGCTTAAGTCCTGGCCCTCGTGACTTGAAAAACACCAGGTGCTTGTGTGTGCATGCCCAAAATCCTGAGAGAACGGAGGAGAAGGGATTGCAGCATGGCCATCCCCCCTCAGGAGTGATTTTTCACTTTCTCTGTCACTCTCCAGCAAGCATATGCATTTAAAAAAAATTTTTTTTTTTAAAGAATCATTTAATTTTATTTATTCATTCATTTATTTTGACTAGATAGAGAGAAAGCCACCAGGTCCAGGACTTGAACCATGGATAGCCATGTGGGAGTGTCCAGCACCTTAACTACCACGAAACCTGCTGATCCCACTTGTAGCAAAAATCTAAAACAAAACAAAACAAAACCTACTTTGGGGTCTAGCCATGGTGGCCCACAGATGGCACTGCCACTTAGGAGTCTGGAAGTACAGAGGAGCCCAGGTTTTGTTCCCAGTCTGACCTTGAACACACTGGGCTTAGTTGTATGTGCCTGTAATCCTAGCTAATTGGGAAGCTGGGCTAGAGGTTTGCAACATGGCAAGACCCTGTCAAAAATAGCTCTCTTGGGGACCAAGCAGGTGGCATGGTGATTAAGGTGCTAGACACTCGTACATGGCTTGACTACAGTTCTAGTCCCTGGCCTGGCAGCTTGCTTTCTTGCTTTTCTCTCTCTCTCTGTGTCTCTCTTTCTGGTCAAATTAAAATAAATGAATGAATAAATAAAATTAAATTTAAAAAATTAAAAGCTCTCTTTTTACCCCACCCTCCTTTCTCTATTTCATAAAGGGAAAAAAAAAAAACTATCTTGGTCTTTTTGACTACTGTTTTATATTCCTTAAAATTGATAGACAATTGGTAGACATTTTGGTATTTTCTTATTTTTGATTTGTATAAATAGTGCAACAGTGTGTATGAATGTATATTGTTGGCAAACTCGGGCAAGTGTTTCTATAGAATAGGATTTGAAGTGGCACTGTGGTCCAGGTGACTACACATTGGTTCTCATGCGGGTGCCGGTTCCTCCCACCACTCCAGGTGCCTTCAGGACAATAACTGGGACTATGCCGTATCTGCCCAGGTCTTCACTCATCTCAAGGTAAGGCTTAGGAATACAGTGGGGTACAGGGATCCCTTGAGGAGGGTCAAGTAAGCTAGAGAGGGAGGCTTTGGCAGTCCCTGGCTCTACTGACCTTTCATTTTTTTCCCCAGGCCAAGGGAGAGATCCCGGAAGTGGCATTCATAAAGTGATCCATTGCCATACCGCAGAAGCCCCTGCCTCTTCCCTTGTAAATAGTCCATGGATATTATTATCTCATTGTCATCTGTGTCTCCTGTCCGGCCTGAGGCCACCCTGTGACTGTGACTGAGGAGGGAGGGCCGCAGAAACCCTTCTCCTCACTTGCCTTCCGGAAGACTTCTGGAAGATTGAGCCTCACTGGTGCCAGGAAGCCAAAGCTTACTTTAGAACTGACACTAAACTACTCGAAGGACTTAGGTGCTTTGTGTATTTAACCCGAGGATCCTCCGTACTTTTTAAGATAAAGAGTGATACTGTATCCCGTGTCTTGCGTACTGGATTGTGTCTCGGCCTGCCCAGCTCTGAGCGGTGGGTGGGCTGGGGCTCGGGCCCGCCCTCTGGGCTCCTGCGGTGATTGATCTCAGGCCTGGGAGGCAGCCTCGCGGCCGGAAGTCCCGCCCCGGAAGCAGGCCGGCACAGGCCATGGCGGCTTTTTGGCGCCGGTGGTCCGCGGGACTGCTCTCGCTGCGACCCCTACCCTCGCGCCGGCCCCTGCACGACTTGACCCCGCCCCGGGACGTGTTGCTCTTCAAGCATGAACCGCGTCCCTTCTTCGCTGTCCTAGGGCTGTTCTGCGTGGGCCAGGGCGTCTTCTGGGCCTCTCTGGCCGTGACAGCCTTGTCCCGACCTCCAGTCCCCGAACAGCCTCAGAACGGCGAGACCTCAGCCCATGGCCGCTTCAACCTGCGCTCAGCGCTCTGGCGCTACGGGCTGGCTGTCGGCTGCGGAGCCATCGGTAAGGCGTGGGCTTGTTCCCACCGCGGGAATGCCGGGCACAGTATTCCGTCACGCGGGCTAGCAGAGGAATGGGCTCCCTGCTCTCAGATGAGGGGGCCCGGCACGCCACCCTGTTGGAGGGCAGAACTGAAGTCCCCGAGCGTCACACCCTTGATTCCTAGTCTGAGGCTCGTTTTGCATCCAAGAGCAAGTTAACTTAAGCCTTTTTTTAAGCCCTTTTTTATTTTAGTTGAAATCTTGATTATTTTATTTATTCATTTAGTTTTTAATTTGACCAGAGAGAGACAGAGGTTGAGTGAGAGAAAGTGAGAAAGCATGCCACCAGATCCAGGACTCGAACCATGGTCATGTGGGAGTGTCCAGTGCCTTAACCACCGTGCCAGCCTTAACCACCACGCCACCTGCTGGTCCCCAACTTAAGCCTCTTTTTACCCCTTTAAAATACTGATGGGCTTGCTCACTTCGGCACCACATATACTAAAATACGGATGGGCCTGGGCCGGCAGGTAGAGTGGGTGATTAAGGATTCTGGATTGTGGGTTAACATCCTGAACCTGGTGGCTTGTATTCTTGCTTTCCCTTTCTGTCTGTCTCTCTGTCCCTCTCTGGTCAAATAAAACGAATAAAGTTAAATAAAATAATTCTTTAAAAAAAAGAAACTGATGGGCATGTTAAGGTTGGAAGAAGTAACAACACAAGATTCGGGAGCGTAAGACAAGATCAAATAAATGTTACTACCATCACAATTTCCTTTATTCCTGGGCTGCTGGGTTTGTGCTTAGCCCTGCAATAAAAACCCTTCAGTGAACCTCAATCTTTGCTCTTCCTGCAGGAACCTTGGTACTAGGTGCTGGTGTTCTCTTTTCCCTCCGATCTGTGCGCTCAGTGATGCTTCGGGCTGGAGGGCAGCAGGTGACCTTCACCACTCATGCCCCTTTTGGCTTGGGGGCCCATTTCACCATTCCCTTGAACCAGGTATCATGCATGGCCCACCGGGGTGAAGTTCCTGCCATGTTGCCTCTGAAGGTCAAAGGACGGCGCTTCTACTTCCTCTTGGACAAAAATGGACACCAGAGAGAGACAGAGGTTGAGTGAGAGAAAGTGAGAAAGCATGCCACCAGATCCAGGACTCGAACCATGGTCATGTGGGAGTGTCCAGTGCCTTAACCACCGTGCCAGCCTTAACCACCACGCCACCTGCTGGTCCCCAACTTAAGCCTCTTTTTACCCCTTTAAAATACTGATGGGCTTGCTCACTTCGGCACCACATATACTAAAATACGGATGGGCCTGGGCCGGCAGGTAGAGTGGGTGATTAAGGATTCTGGATTGTGGGTTAACATCCTGAACCTGGTGGCTTGTATTCTTGCTTTCCCTTTCTGTCTGTCTCTCTGTCCCTCTCTGGTCAAATAAAACGAATAAAGTTAAATAAAATAATTCTTTAAAAAAAAGAAACTGATGGGCATGTTAAGGTTGGAAGAAGTAACAACACAAGATTCGGGAGCGTAAGACAAGATCAAATAAATGTTACTACCATCACAATTTCCTTTATTCCTGGGCTGCTGGGTTTGTGCTTAGCCCTGCAATAAAAACCCTTCAGTGAACCTCAATCTTTGCTCTTCCTGCAGGAACCTTGGTACTAGGTGCTGGTGTTCTCTTTTCCCTCCGATCTGTGCGCTCAGTGATGCTTCGGGCTGGAGGGCAGCAGGTGACCTTCACCACTCATGCCCCTTTTGGCTTGGGGGCCCATTTCACCATTCCCTTGAACCAGGTATCATGCATGGCCCACCGGGGTGAAGTTCCTGCCATGTTGCCTCTGAAGGTCAAAGGACGGCGCTTCTACTTCCTCTTGGACAAAAATGGACACTTCCCCAATACACAACTATTTGACAACACTGTGGGTGCCTACCGGAGCTTGTGAAGAAACAATCTTGGGTCACTCACCCCTCCCAGAGGAAGATTAAAAACGGAACATTAGGGGGCCAGCAGGTGGCATGATGGTTAAGGGCACAAGATTCCCACATGGCCAACTGCAGTTCAAGTCCTGGACTTAGTGGCTTGCTTTTCTGACTTTCTCTCTCTCTAGCTCTGTCCATCTCTGGTCAAATTTAAATAACATTAAATAAAAAATAATTCTTAAAAAAAAATGAACATTAGGTCACATATAAGGGCCCAAGATTAATAGCAAATAAAGGAGCAATCATCCCCAGGGCAGCTGCATGATAGCACCTCTAAGTTTTGACCTATGTATATTTAGCCTTCCCTCCTACCTCCCAACTACTTGCTTGAACATCAAGAATGCAGTACCCCTCTAAAAAAAAAAAAAAAAGGAACCAGCAGTTAGCGTAATGGCTATGTCGCTGGATTCCCACGTAGTCGACCACGGTTCGTGTCCCGGACCCGGTGGCTTAGAACTCACGCAGGGCGCGTGTGCGTGCGTGCCCAAGATCCCGAGAGGAGAATGGAGAAGGGATTGCAGCGTGACCATCCCCCCTGGGAGGTGATTTCTCGCTTTCTGTCTCTATGTCTCTGTCTGTCTGGCGAGCATACGCGCCCTATAGCGAAAACCTCTTTAAAAAAAAAAAATGCAGTACTGAGATGAAGAAAGCAATGTAATAATTTTGTACAAAAACAGCTGTAGGAAGAGAGATGGGGAGAGGGTCTGTCACGTTTCCCTCGTGGAGGGAAAACAGGCTCCCAGGGCCATGGGGCAAGAGGATTGTAGGCACTTGGGCACAGTCTTTGGCTGCAGGACAGACTCTTCAGGAATGGGAAAGGCGTGGCCCAACAAGGGAATCTGTCTCAGAGCTCCACTCAGGATCACCCCTTTCCAGAGGCCGGTATGGGGTAGCTTCGGACTTGCACTGCATGACCTGGAGCACCAAGACCACACACCACAATACCAGATTCACCCAAGAAGAGGTCTGTGGGAGACAGGAACAGGAGTGTGAAGAGGGGCCCTCTTAGAATGAGTCTGTCCCACCCACACCACCCTTACTGCACTGCTGAATGTCAGGCTGACAAGCCCCTCAGCTCCTCTCAGCCTCTCACTGGTGGGTACCCCTACAAGTAGATACTTATAAAAATATCTGTACTCCTGAATCTTCACCCAGTCTTTCACATCCCATGACCTCACTTCAGCACTGTGCAGGTTGGAGTAAAACTGCAGAGAGGGGTGTCCATGAAATTTTCTGGGCTTCAGGACAACTATTAGGTCAAAGAGAGAGTTATGAGCAAAGGAGGGATATACCCCGAGCACACCTCTGCCCAGGTGTCCTTCCAGAGGAGAGCAACTGACAGGGCTAAAAAGGGAGGTTTCAGGACCCCCACTAGAGAGGGGAGGTAGTCCAGCCAGGCTCCCCTCCCTCTCCCATTACCTAATTGTAAGGTTCAGGGAGATGATGGAATTGCAGAGAGAACTGGTGCCAAACCGAAGGATACAGGCAGACACTAAGATCAGGAAGACGGCTATAGATGAGATGGCCAGCGCGATGCGGAGCCCTAAAGGACCTCTAAGAGGGGAAGAGAAAGAGTTCTGGGACTTGTGATAAGAATCGCCCCACCTCTGGCCCCAGCGTGGGACAGTCACCTGTGGGAGTCCTCGATGCAGCTGCTGTAGACCCAGAAGAGTAGAAGCAGGAGGCAGTAGAGGGCCAGGAGGCCAGACACACCAGCCACAAAGTAGCAGAGGGATGGGGCCGAGGGACGGGATAAGGTCATGGAGGAGCCATTCTTTGTGGCCCCACCATACAGTGGACAGCTGCCACCGAACGATCCCTGTGGAGAGAAGCTGTTGAATCCTAGATTTCAGGTTACTGCCTGGACACAAGCACATGGCATGTATTAGGGATAACCCAGACCACTCTAGGACATTATTTGTGCATTGTTTCCAGACAGACAGATGCAGAAGGCCTGCTGAGGAATCAAACCTACAGTGGCCAGATGATCAGGAAATAGAAAGTTAGAAAAAAACAGAGTTCCAAAGAAGCCTCACAAGTTCTGTTCTTCCTTCTATGCAGTAAATCCAGACTTGTGTAACCTTCGGCAAGAAACTCTGATGATGGGACCAGCAGTCAGCGTAATGGCCACGTCGCTGGACTCCCACATAGTCAACAGCGGTTCGAGTCCTGGACACGGTGGCTTAAACTCACACTGGGCGCATGTTCGTGCGTGCCCAAGATCCCGAGAGGAGAATGGAGGAGAAGGGATTGCGGAGTGACCATCCCCTCTGGGGGGTGATTTCTCGCTTTCTGTCTCTCTGTCTCTGTCTCTCTGGCAAGCACGCACACCCTGTAGCGAAAACCTCTCAAAAAAAAAAAAAACTCTCTGATGTTTTCTAATCTGTAAAATAGGTATACTAGTGTGTGTTTTGTAGGGATTAAATGAATCTATGTTTAACAAGATTGGCTAGCTGGGGTAAATAAAGTATTAGCTACTGCCTTTACCCTAATACATGGCTATTTTAGCGATCATTTAACACACCGTGTTGAAATCACTCAATAGCTTGTTCACTTCCACTATACTGGTTACTTCTCAGCATACTCGGCACCAATGGCTTCTAATTTAAGGGATGAACTCAGGGCCTGGACCAACTTGTTTCAGAACCAGAATAAGGTTAATGCAGCAGGAGCCATCAGGCCTGTTCCGTCTGGTGCTGGCAGACGACTCCTCGGGGAGGAAACCACTTTAACGTATGACCTGGCCAGTGGTGCTACACAGCACGATTGGCGTTGCTGTACTTGAGCCACGGGCCGGCGCCCGCCAGCCCTCACCGGTCATCCAGCTCCCAGCAGCAGGGAGCTAGGCCGGAAAGAAGCAGGGGTCTCTGTAGGTCAAGCTGGCCAGCCCCCACTGTACCCACCCCAATCCCAACGCTGGCCCCACCTCGCAGCCACACCTGGGTCCGAGTCAGCGCCGCGGCCGCCACCGCCCCACACAGGAAGGCGGCAGCGAAGAGCACGAGCTCAACGCGCTGCAGGAAGGGCAGCGCCATAGCTCCCCTGCCACCCGGAAGCGCCGCCCCACGAGCCAACTGCCCAAGCCCCGCCTCACTTAGCACGACCCACAAATGTGGAGACGTCATTTCCGGGGACGGGATTTATTGACAGAGGCAAGACTGAGCCCCGCCTCAAAGCGGCAGGTACAGCGAGTAGTCCGACAGGGCCCAGCGGCGGGCCGGGCGGCTGGTGCGGCCGATCATGGGCAGTTTCTGAATGTCGCGGGGGGCCGGGGTGACGCGGTGCAGGAGGCAGTCTGGAAGAGGCGCCCGCGGCAGCGCCGCCCGGCCTGACGCCCGGCGATGATAAACCGGAAGTGCGGGGCGCCGCGCGGGGCGAAACGGCTCTTCTGGAAGACGTCGCGCGTGCCGGCACCGGTGCCCTGCTGCCTGGGGGCTCCGCGCGCCCGGTGCACGCGCGGCAGCGACCTGCTCTCAGAGGCGGAGGGTGCAGAGGCCGACGGGGGGCCACCACCCCGGGGACTCTCCACGCCCTGCGGGCTGACCATGGCGCTGGCCGTCAGCTGTGGCATCTTCCGCACTGAGTCCGGGGCGGCCGCCGGCTCCTTCTTGTCCCCGGGCGGCCGCGGAGCTGTGGGCGCTGGCTGGCCCGTGCCGAAGCGGGTGGCTAAGCTGTCACCGAAAAAGGCGTAGAGCTCCCGGTAGATGTCCGCCAGAGTCACGGAAGAAGGGTCCTCTGGCCCCGCGCCCCCTGGCGGCAGTGGGAGGCCAGACACAAAGCCTGGCTCTGCGCTGCTGCCAGAGGGAGACTCCTGCAGGAGCAGGCTGTCCCAGGGAAGGTCGTCTGGGCGCTGGTACCCCCTGCCGCCTGGGCCGACTCTGTTGGGCTCTGCTGCCTGGGCCTTCATCTTCAGCAGTCGTTCTACAGCCACCTGTAGGAGCAGGGGACCAGAACAGGCAAAAACTAGGCCCTGGGTCCACCAAGTATTCCAAAGTGTAAGGGTCTGGGCTCATGCTAAGAAAGGAAGCTACAAGGGGCTGGCACTCACCAGAATGGCTCCATAGACTTTGTGCCCATCTGCCTTGACCTGGGCATTAGATACTGAATAATCATCCAGCACAGCCTGCAAGTTTGTCCAGTAAGTGGACAGATGTGGGTACAGGACCCGTTCCACTGCCTAAAAGAGAAGAAACAGTTTAGTGGTTCTTTATTACTGGTACCTCTTAAGGACCCTTTGTACTGAAAGGCCTACTTTGATCCCTGATCCTAGGCAGGGCTCAATCCTAATTTCCCTACTGGCATATTCAACCAGCATCTACTTGGAACCTATTTTATGCCCAAGCCTTTGCTAAATACAACCAGCTAAATATGGGTTACAAAACCGGACAGTATAAAGTGACCCCACTATCACTGCCGTATATGCCAAGGACTAAGAGGGCAACAGTAATACCCACTGCTAACCACACAAATTTCTACTTTGCAAACTGCTGTACTATATAATCAGTAGGCAAATATTGTCCTCTCTTAGATATAAACAGACTCAGTTCAAATGAGCTGCACAAAAACAACCAGACACCTGAACTCATTACATCATTTTAAATTCTGAGATTATCAATAATTTGAGGGGAAGAATTAAGACTTTGAAGAGGGGGACCAGCAGATGGCAAAATGGTTATGTCGCTGGACTCCCATATGGCTGACTGCAGTTCAAGCCCTAGACTGGCGGCTTGAACCACACTCTGGGCAAGTGTGTGTGTGTGTGTGTGCACCCAGACTTCCAAGAGGAGAGTGGAGAAGAGATTGCAATGTGGCCATACCTACTGGAGGATGATTTCTCACTTTCTGTCTGTCTCTGTCTTTCTAGCAAGCACATAACACCCTATAGCAAAAATAAAACAAAAACCCTCCAAAAAAAAAAAAAAAGACTTTGAAGAGGAGATGACATTTACATCTTTAATGGGCTTTGATGGAGAAGATGGTTCTTTGGTCACTCATCCACAGCATGAATATTTGAAAATAATGACAAAATTGACAAATTTCTAGAAAATGTAGCCATCTGATTACTCAAGAAGATTAACTCAAGTTAAATTCTATAACTACAAACATAGTGAAATACTGGCTCAAAATGACAAAACCATGCCAAAATTTACAAAGGTCTACCTATAGATAATAAAAAATTTAAAAAGATTATCTCAACTTTATGAAAATTACAAAACATAGTCCCAGCAGGGCACAGTGGCACATGCTTCTAGTCCCAGCTAATTTGAGAGGCTGAGAAAGGAGGATGACAACCCAGCAAGATCATCTTAAACACCACCCCCACACACATACACAATAAAACTTATCACATTAGCAGAGCTAAGGAACATAATCATTTGGTAATCTCCATAGATGCTGAAAATACACTTGATGAAATTCAGTACCTATTCATGTTTAAAATAATACAAGATAAATTACGAAAACATGGTAAGATAAAATAGGCACGAATTTATAAAATGGTGGTACATTGATGCCTTCCAAGCAGGATTTATGTAAGGTAAGATGTTTACATACAGGAAGTCAAGCTGTCCCCAAGCCTGACCTGAGGCAAGAACTCAACCTATAGCAGCACCAAGCACGTACCATTTCTATGATAAAAGACACACAAATACTATCGGTTTTAATACAAATGGGAGTTCCTAAGGCTCGCTCTATTAGAAAGACTAGGGTCCTCACCTTCCAGCCAAGAGCATGCAGTCCCACCACAGCCCCATAGTGAGAGCAGAGAGGCCGCACAGGGTCTGCCAAGACCTTCTGCAGGGAGAGCAGGATCTGCTGATAGAGGCCACTGACAAGGTCCCCATGAGTCCTGTGGGAACAACGGGACTTCAGACAGGAAGGGAATGCGGCATGGCACTGCCCAATTGGGCTTAGGACAGCACAAAGAACGGCATTTGGATGGCACACTGGGACACGCTGCAGTAAACAAATGAGGTTACCATGGGTAATTGACCAGGGATTTAAGCTGAAGGACCAATAGTATGGCATATTTACAACCCATCTGTAGAACAACACTGTACTCTGACACACCTGGATAACTGTAAAGGAAGAGCTTCCCCATCTTCTCAACACAACTTCAGAGATAGAAGCTTCACCCCATTTCCCTACTACAACCCACTCAGCCTGATAACATCATCATGTTATTCAGCTCTAGGCCCAGTTACCAGAAAATGTGGCTGAGCAGGAGGGCAGCTCCATCCCTTAGAGTCCAGTGATCATTCAGGGGGTTGATGGAGGCAGCCAGTGGCTCCAAGACGCAGTAGAGGACACTACCCACCAGGGAGCGGACATAGGGCCCCAGGCAGAGATGTGGATTCCGTACCAGGCTCCGTGCTACCTGCAGCAGCCGGTGCAGCTGCTCCAGATCATGACTTACAGATTTTACCTGTTGGTAGAAAGGGTGGAGACCAGCAGATGGCATAATGGTTATGTCACTGGACTCTCACATAGTCAACTACAGTTTGAATCCCAGACCTGGCAACAAGACTCACACCCTGTGCGTGTGTCCCCAAGATCTCAAGAGGAGAATGAAGGAGAAGGGAATACAACATGGCTATCCCCCCGGAGGTGATTTACTGCTATCTCTCTGTCTCTGTCTCTCTGATGAGTCCATATGCCCTATAGCAAAAATCTCTCTTGGGACCAGCAGATGGCATAATAGTTACATCACCGGACTCCCAAGTGGTTGACTGCAGTTTGAGTCCTGGACCAAGCTACTTAAACCTCATGCCAGGCCCATGTGCATGAGTGCTTAAGATTCCAAGAGAAAATAGAGGAGAAGCGACTGCAGCATGGCCATCACCCCAGGGGATGATTTCTCACTTTCTGTCTCTGTCTCTCTAGTGAGCACACGTGCCCTATAAGAAAAATCTCAAAAGAAGAAAAAAAAAAAAAAACTATTAAAAACAGAGGATAGTGGGTGGTGTGAGGTTAGGACGCTGGAATTCCCACATGGCCAACCTTGGTTTGAGTCCCAGACCTGGCAGCTTCCTTTCTCGCTCTCCCCCCCCCACCCCTATCTTTCTCTGACAAAACTCGTGAAAAAAATAAATCTTTTTTTTAAATCAAAATGGGACCATCAGATGGCGTAATAGTTATGTTGTTGGACACCCATGTAATTGACTGCAATTTAAATCCCACATGCAGTACTTTAAACCTCACGCCAGGCCCATGTGCACGCATGCCCAAGATCCCAGAAGGAGAATGAAAGAGGAGATATTGCGGCATGGCCATTACCCCAGGGGGTGATTTTTCGCTTTCTCTCTCTCTCTCTCTGGCAAGCACATGCGCTATATAGCAAAAATCTCTCTTAAAAAAAAATCAAAACAAACAAAAAAAAATGGTGGCTTATGGGGACATGAGAGACTAAGCAGCAGTCCATCTCTTTTTTTTTTTTTTTTTAAGTTTATTTCTTCAAAGAGAGAAACTCCCAACAGAGTCCTCACTCTACAACACACCCCCATTCTCAGCTATCACAGGTCACATGTATAACACACATACACGTACCCAATGTGCTCAACAAGGTCCCAGGACACAAGCCCAGGACCTTTCCCATGTGGGTCCAATTGCATTATTCTGACAGTATCTATCATAAGTCCTACACACTGCTGGGTCATCTCCTCCCCAGAAAACATCCTCCTCACTTACCCCACTGACCACATAAACAAAGTAAGGCAGGAGCGCTGCAATCTTGGAGTTTGTTTGTAGATCCTGGAGTGCAACCTGAAAGATAGGCCAAGACTGCCCTGGATCTACCAGCCTCAAGTATAAACTGACTGCTTTGGAAGACAGCTTAGCACTGTACTCAATACTCTATCTCTCTGTCTCTCTCCAGCAAATACATGCACCCTATAGCAAACTAAAAAAAATATATAAAAATTTCATGGAAATTTAAAAGTGTGACTTTATGGCACAACCCAGGCCTATTCTCTCACCTTCATCAGCTGTGGATCATCCCCTAACACAGCCCGAGTCACTTGCTGGTAGTACTTGAGAAGGTCATCAGTCAGTGAGGACACAGCACTGGGCACTGTGAGAAGATGGGCACAGGTGGCCAGAGTGGCGAGGCCTTCCCCGTTTCCCCCAGCCAGCACCCCTGCAGTTGCCATCCCCACACACTGCCACAAGGAACCCGTTCAGACAAGACAACCAGCATGCAGCAAGTCCAGCAGTAATTTGAGGCTGCTGAGCCCTGACCACGCAGGCTCTCCCCTCCTCTGTGCTGTCCACTGACTCCCACCCACCGGTCTCCAGGGAGACACCTGCTCAGTCCACTAGCCCCAAGTACAGAAGCTTCAGGTTCTGTGAAACTTTGCTCAGCATTCCCTGGAAGTAAGACACCTCCCCTTGGGGACCCCAGCATGCTGTCCAGACTTCTGTTCTAGCACCCCACACTATGCCATGATTGGTCACAGGTCTGGGCTCTCCAACTCTGAGCTCTCTGGCAGGAAGCAGGGTCCGCTCAGAACATGGTACAGGCAGGCATCAGTAAAGACTCATCAGATGCAGACTCACTCAGAGGCATACAGCCACCCGCTCAGCTCCTATAGGAGGACACATCAACCAGAGGGCCCATTTCCCACACCACTGGTTACCTGAGCCCTGTGGTGCCAGGTTCCCTTTCCCATCCAGATAGGAGACGTGAACTAGAAGCAGAGCAGAGGGCTGGGTCAGCCTGGGGTTCTGCCCCTTGTAGCACCACCTTCCCCTCCAAGTTCTGCCCCATCTACCAGCCAGTCCATTCCACCCCTCTGTCGACTCAGCCCGTTTCCACCCCATTCAGGACCCCGGCAGCCACCTCTGACAGCTGTCTCAGCACAGCCTTTAGGAATGTTGGTAGCTAGTGCCAGATCCACCAGGTTCACCTCTCGGTCTTCAGGGAAGTAGAGCTCCCCCTCCCTCGCAGGGCGCAGGGGCAGTGCCTCCTGGGATCCATAACCACACACAGCCTGAGGAGAGGATTGAACAGCCTGAATCCAGGGGAGATAACAGGTGCCAGGATGAGGTTCTACCAGCCAGGACCTGGAGGCTATGGTCAAGGCAAGTCCAGAGGTTCCCAGAAAGGCTGGGGAAGAGCCATGGCCCCTGAGGTCAAGGGATAGAATATGATCCCTCCTCACATATCCCCAGCTTTCAGGTCTTCCTCATTCATACCCATTCGACTTTGAAAACTCACTGCTCTTTTTTTTTTTTTTTTTTGAAGAGAGATTTTTGCTATAGGGCATGTGCACTCGCCAGAGAGGGAGGTAGAGAGAGAAAGCGAGAAATCACCCCCAAGGGGGTTTGACTACGTCACAATCCGTTCTCTTCCATTCTCCTCTTGGGATTGTGGGCAGACACACACATGCGCCTGGCATGGATTTCAAGCTGCCAGGTCCAGTACTCAAACCGTGGTCGGCCATGTGGAAGTCCAGTGATGCAACCATTATGCTGATCCCACTTACTGCTCTCTTCTAACCAGAACCTTCCTCAAGTCCCCAGAACAACCTATGTCACAATCCGTTCTCTTCCATTCTCCTCTTGGGATTGTGGGCAGACACACACATGCGCCTGGCATGGATTTCAAGCTGCCAGGTCCAGTACTCAAACCGTGGTCGGCCATGTGGAAGTCCAGTGATGCAACCATTATGCTGATCCCACTTACTGCTCTCTTCTAACCAGAACCTTCCTCAAGTCCCCAGAACAACTACACTAGGAGGTCCTAACACCCATACTTCTGCACAGGCTCCTCTCTTATTCATAATGATCTTGGCTTAGTTTAACCCTTGTCCTCTTTTTTTTTTTTTTGGAGAGGCTTTTGCTATAGGGCGCGTGCGCTTGCCAGACAGACAGAGAGAGACAGAGAGACAGAAAGCGAGAAATCACCCGCAATCCCTTCTCCATTCTCGTCTCGGGATTTTGGGCACGCGCGCACACACACCTGGCGTGAGTTTTAAGCCACCAGGTCCAGGATACGAACCGTGGTCAACTACATGGGAGTCCAGCGACATAGCCATTACGCTAACTGCTGGTCCCGCCTTGCCCTCCTTGAAGCCCTAGCTCAAGTACCACCTCTTCCAAGCAGCCTTCCCTAACTTCCAGGCCCAAGACACCCCCTCCCTCTTCCTGAACTCATAGCCCTTGGGCTGGGCCCAGCACGTGGCACCTGGCCTGCACCTCACATGTCCATTCGGTCTTCACGTGTTTCTGCGCAGCCACCCTGAGCAGGACAGAGGTGGGCTCAGGCTGCCCCACCATCACCCTGCGGTCTGTCCCCTACTCACCTCCACGCTGCTCCACCTGAGGGCCCTGTTGAAGTCTTCAACGGTCAGCTTCCGCCGTTTGGTATGCTTCATGAACTGAGAGCTATTCTGGGAGGTGAGGAACTACAGTCAGAGGAGCAGGAGGTGTGTGGCAACCTCCAGGTGAAGAGGGCCAGACCAGGAGAAGGCAAAGACGACACCACAGCAGCGATCAGAAAGCCTGGACTCCAGCTCTGCTCTGTACGAACAGCCCCCACAGCGGCACGTCCCCTCCCTCTCTGCCCTGGTTTCTGTTGTCGAGAATGTGAATGTTCACCCACTCGGCCTGCCCAGTGGGGCTGCTATGGAAACACACAAGATGCCTGGCGGGCACTTGGCTGGCTGGAACCCAGACAGCTAGAAGGGGAGCTCCGTAAAGGGCATAGACTGTCCCCCATGCCCTCAAAGCGCAGAGCATGTGCCCAGCATATACTTGAATGAGTCAAAGTGGGAGGAGCTCAGTCAGAGGGCGGAGGGAAGGGAGTTGGGAGGTATGGGGAGCGAGGGGTGCACACCTGCGTGGCCTCTCTGAGACGGTAGCACACGTCCTCTGCAAGCAGGGCCGCCACCTCGTCACTCAGCTCCAGGCCCGTGCTCTCTGCCATGAGCCGCACGGACTCCCGAGGGATCTCCACAAACCGCCGCTCTTCTCGCTCCGACATGGCCCCAATGGAGCTGGGAGGGGAGAGGGAAGGTTTGAAAAGCTGCTCGGTCTCCCTCAGAGCCCAGGCGTGTGATTCAAGACCCTCTAAACCAGCCTTGCTAATCTTGCTCCAGAATTCCCAAATGAGGAGCTCCGAATACCCAGATGAGGAAGCAGGCACAGAGAAGGAAGCAGACTGGCCCAGGGCAGTCAATGGTGAAGCTAGAGGGAGGGCCTGGCCTTGAGGTTCACAGATCTGGACCTCAGCCCTGCCTGCTTACTCACTGTGTGAACCTGGCCAAATCGGAGCCCTGGTGCCCTGACTTGTAAAAGAGAGGCAATTGGGGCCAGCAGATGGCATAGCAGTAACGTCACTGGACTCCCAAATGGTGGGCCATGGTTCAAGTCCTGGACCCAGTAGCTTGAAACTCATGCCTGATACATGCACATGTGTGCCCAAGATCCCAGGAGAAAGGAGGAGAAGGGATTATAGTGAGGCCATCTCCCTGGGGGGTGATTTTTCTTCTCACTGTCTCTGTCTCTCTCTCTCCAGTGAGCATACACACCCTAAGGCAAAAACTTCTACCAAGAAAAAAGAGGCAATTTTTTTAAAAAAGGGACCAGCAGATGGCATGACGGTTACATCACTGGATTGCCACGTAGTCGACCACAGCTTGAGCCCTGGACCCAGCGGCTTAAAACTCACACAGGGGACGTGTCTGTGCATGCCCAAAGTCCCAAGAGGAAAATGGAGGAGAACAGATTGTGATATGGCCATCTCCCTTGTGGGGTGAATTGTTGCTTTCGGGCTCTCTGGTGAGTGCAAGCACCCTAGAGTAAAAAATCTATTATAAAAAAAAAAGGGCAGGGGCCAGCAAGTGGTGTGGTGAAGATGTTGGACTCTCACATGACCAACAATAGTTCGAGTCCCAGAACTGATGGCTTGCTTCCTCACTTTCCTCTCTCTCTGGTCAATAATGATGATGATGATGATGAGTAAAATTAAATATATATTTTTTAAAATAATATCTTTGGGGGTTGGCAGATAGTGTGATGGTTGAGGGTGCTGGACTCCGACATGGCCAGTGCAGTTCGAGTCCCGGACCTGGTGGCTTGTTTTCTCTCTCTCTTTCTCTCTCTCTCTCTACCCCTCTCTCTCCCCCAACCCCGTGGTTAAATTAAAATTAATAAATAAAGTTAAATAAAGTAATCTTTAAAAAACTAATAAAATAAGGGGAACAGTAGTTAGCGTAATGGCTATGTCGCTGGACTCCCACGTAGTCGACCACGGTTCGAGTCCTGGACCGGGTGGCTTAAACTCACTCCAGGCGCGTGTGCATGTGTGCCCAAGATCCCAAGAGGAGAATGGAGGAGAAGGGATTTCGGCATGGCCATACCCCCTGGGGAGTGATTTCTTGCTTTCTGTCTGTCTGGCGAGTGCATGTACCCTCTAGCAAAAACCTCTCAAAAAAAAAAAAAAAAAAACCTAATAAAATAACATCATTTTTAACTTTATTTTATTTTTATTCATTTATTTTAATTTGACAAGAGAGGGACAGAATGAGAGAGAGAGAGAAACAGGGGGGGGCGGGAGTGAGAAAGCAAGCCACCAGGTCCAGGCCTCAAAAGACAGTTGGCCATGTGGGAGTCCACTGTCCTTAACCACCATGCCACCTACCATCCCCTAAATAAAATAATTAAAAAAAAAAAAAAAAAGGCAATAATCCATGGAACTTACATAGCTTCTATGAGGATAAAATGAGATAATGTGGGGCCGGTGCATGGCGTGGTGGTTAAAGGCACTGGATTCCCACATGGCCAACCCTGGTTCGAGTCCTGAACTTGGCAGCTTGCTTTCTCTCTTTCCTTTTTTCTCCCTCTCTGGTCAAATCTTAAAAAAAAAACAATAACAAATAGAATAATTCTTTTTAAAAAATGAAATGATGTATGAGAAATTCAGGAACTACATCAATGGAAGATGTCAGCATCATTAACTGCAAATGATAACTTTAATTCCTCTTTCTTCTGATTTTTATTACAACCACTATAAACTAAATGTTGCTGAAAATACTTCTATCCTGACGCTCCTTTGCTCAAAAATCTTAAGTATTTCCCCCACTGCTCCTAAAAAGAAAGTCTTGGTTCTAAGACTTTGACACGGTGATTAAGGTACAGAATCTCACATGGCTGACCACAGTTCAAGTCCCGGACCAGTGGCTTGCTTTCTCACTTTCTTTTCTTTTTTTTTTTTAATTTTGTATTTTATTCCCTTTGTTTTTTTTTTTATTTTTTAATTTGACCAGAGAGAGAAAGGCAAAGGGAGAAAGCAAGCTGCCAGGACAGGGACTCAAACAGCAGTCAGTCATGTGGAATCCAGTGTCCTTAACTACTGCGCTGCCCACCAGCCCTCCTTTTCTTAAGAAAGATATTTGCGGGACCAGCAGTTGGCATAATGGCTATGTCACTGGACTCCCATGTAGTCGACCATGATTCAAGTCCCGGACCCGGTGGCTTAAACTCACGCTAGGTGCGTGTGCGTGCATGCCCAAGATCCTGAGAGGAGAATGGAGGAGAAGGGATTGCAGCATGGCCATCTTCCCTGGCGGGTGATTTCTCGTTTTCTGTCTCTCTGTCTCTCTCTGTCTTTCTGGCAAGCACACGCACCCTATGGCAAAAACCTCTCAGAAAAAAAAAAAAAGAGAGATAGAGAGATTTACTATGGGAACATGTACGTGCCAGAGAGACATAGAGAGACAGGAAGACAGAAAGTGAGAAATCACCCCCCCGAAAGCATATGGCTACACTGCAATCCTTTTTCCTCCATTCTCCTCTCAGGATTTTGGGCATGTACATGCCCAGCATCAATTTCAAGCCTTCAGTTCTAGGACTTGAACTGCAGTTGGCCATATGGGAGTCCAGCAACGTAACCATTATACCACCTGTTGGCCCTACTTTCTCTCTGTCTCTCTGGTGAACACACATGCCCTATAGCAAATTTTAAAATAATAATAATAATAAATAAAATTAAAGAAATAACTTTTTTAAAGTTAAGTCTAACTTTCTCAGCCTTACATTTTGTCTTTGGTCCCAAATCACCATGGCTGTTTACCCTGACTCATCCTCCCTGTAAGACCAACCCAGTGTCTCCCACCCTGGCTTTAGGCCCCACCATCAGGTTGGTGAGGCTGGTCTCTCATCCTACTCCAAATCCCCCTTGCTCCTCTCAGCAAATCCAGTCTGAGATCTCCTGTCCCATATGCCATCTGTGACTGTCAGTCTTTAGTAGTTGGGCTTTCTGTACATGTTTCTGGCCTTCCCCAGTTCGGCTGCACGGCCTGAAGGCAAGAACCTGTTCTATGCCCAGGACAGGGCAGAATACGAACCCAATGAAAGGAGCAGCTGATGACCAGCTCCAACAATGCACATAATTAGAAGGTAGGCTCGGATGTGTCCAACCAAGGCACCCCCCAGCATGCTCCGGTCTGTGATAAGCCACCCAGTAATGCCCCCTTACTTCTGCAGCACCTCTTACTACTGTCTGTGTTCTGCAGTCCCATCACGGCCTTCTTCCATTTCTCAAAACCACTACTTCAGGACCTTTGTACATTCTGTTTACTCTGCTTAGAACTCTCTCCTCTTTGTCCTTTACCCACAACCCCTTTGTCTAGTGAACTACCCCAGATTTCAGTTTAAATGTCCCTTGCTCAGGGAAATCATCCCAGGTCCCCTGAGTCCCTGTAAGTCACCTTCAAAACAGCAGTAACAGTTTGTAATTACATATTTCTGCAACTTTTTAATTAACATCTACCTCCCAACTAGATTGTAAGCTCCTTGCAGGCAAGGAACACGTGTCTGCTCACCTTTGCATCCCCAGTGTCCCTGCAGTGTCAGCACATAATATGTCTCAATAAACACTTGCTGAAAGAACAAAGAAAACAGTTATTTTTCCAAGTACACTCTAGGCCTGAGGCACTCAGCTTTACCGGAGAGCCTCATTGTATCCCCATTAACAATGAACTACACAGTATATATTTTGTCTATTTCACAAGCTCAGAAAGATTAAATATTACGATTTGCCCAGGATCATCCAGCGCTAACACTGGGTAAGTAGGGAGCAGGGACTCAAACCCTTGTTCTTAATAAGCACACTATTGCATTCAGGAGCCGCGGGCTAAGTAAGGAGCAAGGCCTAGATTCACAGTCAAAAGACTTGTCACTGGAAACCCACCATGGGGTGATCTCAGGTTCGCCAGTAAACAATTGTTAGATCTCAGTTTCCCCATCTGTAAAATGGGAGCATTAAGTCCTTCCCACGCAGAAGACGAAGAGGGAGTTTACCTATCATGTGCCATATTAAGATCCCACAAAGTCCAGCCTCTGACCAAGGTCTCAGGCTCCACTCCTCCCCTAGTAAGGAGGCGTAGGAACTGACCTCTATGGTCCTCAGTGACGCGCATCCTCCCACCCAGCCTTGCTCACCCCAGATCCAGAGACCGTGGATGGGTGGAGGAGGTCAGGGGTCACCGAACTTGGGTCACGTGGTCAGCGAAGGGGGCGGACCCCAGCCGAGCAGGCTGCAAGGCTGGGGAGTAAGCAGCCCAGAGGCCGGCGGGGAGTCCTTGGACCTAGGCAGGGCCTGCTCACCTGAGAGCTCCGGCTTGGCGAAGGCGTCTATTGGGACCTCGGCTGCGGTTGCAGCAGCAGCTCCGACTCACCCTGCTCACACTAATTCCCTCTCTCGCAGCCCAGGCCCCGCCCGCCATGAGCACAGCCAACCCGCGAGCACCTTGCAAAGTTCCCGCCCCCAAGAGCCTTTCCGCCTCGTGATTGGCCAGTGTGAACTTGCGGCAGAAACCTAGGGCGCCAAGGGTCACATGACGCTAAAGATCCGCGCTTCTTAAAGTAACAGCTCTTGCTGAGTTTGCCAGTAGTTGTATTTTGGCATACGTTGAATAAGCCAAATGCTCTCATGGAAAGCCTCCCTAGCCCCTTGGTTCGTCAGGTCCCAAGTTTCCGATCACTTGCATTTTTGCATCTGTAGCAAAGCTGTAGCATTTGGTGTCTGGCTTAGTTTTCTTTTCTTAACCTAGCTCTCCCACTTCACCTGCCACTTCCCTTCCCAAAAGAATAGGTGGGGCTCTGTAGGCAGAAGAGACTTCTGACTGTGCCATAAACTCTGGACTCATAGGCACCGGCCTCATAACCTTCCCACTTCCGTCCAGTGACCCAAATAAAAGCCCTCACCTGCCTCACAGACCACCAGAACCATTTTATACTTTTAAGCGCAATAATGACAGCTCCCTTTCTCAAACTCCCAGTGCAACAACAGCGACGTGGGCAGTTTTCAAAGCAGTGGACTTGAGTCAATAAAGGATGGTATTTGGAATCAGACCAATCTGGGTACAAATTCTGACACTACCTTTTTTTTTTTAAGAATTATTTTATTTAATATTATTCATTCATTTATTTTAATTTGATCAGAGAGAGACAGAGAAGGAAAGTGAGAAAGCAAGCCACCAGGTCCAGGACTCAAACCGTGGTCACCCATGTGGGAGTGGACAGCAAATTAACCACCATGCCACCTGCTCGTCCCTTTCTTAAAATTTTTTAACAATTATTTAACTTTATTTATCCATTTAGAGTGGGGGGAAGAGAGAAGTAAAGCGAGAAAGCAAGCCGCTAGGTCCAGGACTCAAACCACAGCGGGCCATGTGAGAGTCCATTGCCCTTAACCACCATGCCACCTGTCAGCCCTCTGACACCACCTTTGAACAAATTACTAATTACATTCCCCTCATCTACAAAATGGGGTAATAACGCCCACTTCTTAGGGTCATTGTAGACTAGATGAGTTATCTGTGAAAGCGCCTAGTGGAGTTGGAGGTTGAACTTTCTTTCACTCACAAAATGAGGAAGACATTAATTTTCTTATATTCACACAAGATGGATTTGTTAGCCTTGGCTTTGCATGTTACACTACAGAAGGAAGTAGGGAAGTATGAATATACACATTTATTCCTTTCCTCCTTCTCAGGGCTAGATGCTACCTTGGCTAGAAAAAACTCTCTGGGTCCAGCAGGTGGTGTGGTGGTTAAGGTACTGGACTCTCACATGGCTGACAGCAGCTCAAGTCCTGGACCCAGTGGCTTGAAAATCACGCTGAGCACACATGTGAATGCACGTCCAAGATCCTGTGGAGAATGGAGAAAGGATGGCGCCATGGCCGTCCCCCTAGAGCGAGGGGTGATTCTCACTTTCCCTCTCTCTGTCTCTCTCCCACAAGTACACCCACCCTATGGCAAAAACTCAAAAAGCAAATAAAGGGGACCAGCAGTTAGCATAATGGCTATGTTGCTGAACTCCCATGTAGTTAATCACAGTTCGAGTCCCAGTTCTGGTGGCTTAAACTCACGCCGGGCGTGTGTGCGAGCATGCCCAAGATCCCAAGAGGAGAATGGAGGAGAAGGGATTGCAGCTTGGTCATCCCCCCTGGAGGGGTGATTATTCGCTTTATCTGTCTCTTTCTGGGGAGCGTATGTGCCCTATAACAAAAACCTCTCCAAAAAATAGGAAATAAAAAGGAAAATTAGAAAACTCCCTGGGACCTAAGCTTGGAAAGCCAGATGGATATGATTGGGGTAACCATAGCAACTGCACCTGGGGATTGTGACCCTGCTGAGCTTCTTCCAGTCACATTCAGAATTATTTGAGAATGGTTTTAGTGCTTGCACGCTGGAGTGTCTGCCCATCTATCGGTGAAGGGAAGGAGAGAGAGCCCTCTTCCAAGGATCTGGGCTGCTGGAGGATCTCCCTGTAAATGTTTACCAGTCTAAAAAGCCATTGACAACCTTAAAGAGGATGGCGGAAGGGTGAGGTCATCTAGGGACCTGTCAGATAAAAAAGCTGTATCCAGGGACCAGCAGGTGGCATACTGGCCTTGCTCCCTGCATAGCCCACGGCTCCTGAATGCAATAGTGTGCTTATTAACAAGGGTTTGAGTCCCTGCTTCCTATTTACCCAGTGTTCAGTGCTGGATGATCCTGGGCAAGTCATGTATTTAATCTTTCTGAGCCTGTAAAATAGACAAAATACATAAAGTGCTGGACTCCCACATGGTCAACCATGGTTTAAGTCACAGACCTGGCCTCTTGAAACTCACGCAGGTTCATGTGCATGCATGACCAGGATCCTGAAAGAATAGAGAAGGGATTGTAGTTTGGTCATCTCCTTCAGGGGACAATTTCTCACTTTCTGTCTCTCTAGTGAGTACTTGTGCCCTATAACAAAGGTCTCTCAAAAAATAAATAAATAAATAAATAAGAGACCAGCAGGTTGTGTGGTGCTTAAAGCAATGGACACTTCCACATGGCTGACCACAGTTGAGTCCCAGACCTGGTGGCTTGCTTTCTCAATTTCCCTCTCTCTCTCTGTGTCTCTCACTGATCAAATTAAAATAAGTGAATTTTTAAAATTAAATAATTTTTTTAAAATGTATCCAATCTGTCTGGAGCTCATTTGCTCCCAATTTGTGTGGAGGTCAGGTTCAAGGGAAGGCAGCAAAGAGTTCCACATGGCCACGAATGGGAACAAATTGCCTACAATCTTCCTGGATACCTAATGCCTGGCAATAGCTGGTTTTAGGCACACTTTTTTTTTTTTTTTTTTTTTGAGAGATTTTTGCTACAAGGTACATGAGCTTGACAGAGACATAGAGACAGAAAGTGAAAAATTATCCCAGAGGGGGATAGCCAGGTCACAATCCCTTCTCCTCTATTCTCCTTTCAGGATTTTGGGCATGCACACACACGTGCCTGGCCTGAGTTTAAGCCGCAGGGTTTAGGACTCAGAACCGTGGTCAAGTATGCAGTTGACTACATGGAACTTCTGCAATGTAACCATTACGCCATCTGCTGGCCCCTGGGCTCAGACTATTTAAGACTCATACCTTCACTACTTATCAGCTGTGTGACTTCAGACACATTAGTTTACCTCTTTGACCTCTTCCATCACCTGTAAAGCAGGATAACAATCTATTTTATTGAACTTTTGAGACAAATCAGTAACGTGTGTAAAAGATTTAGCATATTGGGGACCAACAGTTAGCGTAATGGCTGTCACTGGACTCCCATGTAGTAAACCGCAGTTCGCGTCTGGGACTCAGTGGCTTAAAACTCACACTAGGCACATGTGCATGCGTGCCCAAGATCCTGAGAGGAGAACGGAGAAGAAGGGATTGTGGTGTGGCCATCCCCCCTGGGGAGTTGACCACAGTTCAAATCTTGAACCCAGCAACTTAAAACTCACGCTAGGCACATGTGCGTGCATACCCAAGATCTGGAGAGTGTGGGAGGCTGCGCACCAGCGAGTCAGGCGGTTTCTCAGAAAGCAAACAATTACACAATGCCAAAAGCCATGATTGGCTTCCCTTCAAAACCTGACCTTCGAAACCTTGCTCTGATTGGCCACTAGAATCCCTCAAATTTGCATATCCGGCACCTCATGATTGGTCCAAAAGCAACCAATCACAGCCCACTGTTTACAACCAATCACGGCCCACTGTTTACAACCCACCTGAGTGTATATAACCAAGATGCCTGGCCCACAGGAGTCAGATGACGA